AGAAAAAGGACTGATACTTGGGTTAGTTTTCACTAACAATAAATAGCCGCATATGAAGGGTTTCCAAGGAGTTAGGCTGAGTAAGATAAAGGGTCTCCAAAAAACAAGACTGGCAGCAAGTTGGGACTCTAAGAAAGTGTAGCATGCGCAGGAAGGCCGGATTGTCATAAATGTAGGAAAAAGTACTTCGCTATAAGTGTTACTATCTTATTTTAAACTAGTTCTCTAAGCTATCGCTAGATTATTAGGGAGACTTTACACTAAGGTAAACCCTATGGTAAGCAAAAAAGCCTTTGTCTTGATTCCAGAGATCTTCAACAACTGACCCAACCCAGCAATGGTCACAAATAGGTTTTGAGAACTCTGAACAATCATGTTTAAACCTTATCACCCTATCAATTGTATTATTTTTTATGTACTTTCACAGATAGTTTCTCGTCAAACTCTGTAAAGAGAAAGGTTAACAGAGGTTTTTCACCTCTTGGCGAAGTCTTCTAAGACAGTTTTGAAAAGTTCTAAAATACTCATTTTTGTTATTTTCGTGCAACGTGGAGTTCATAGTCGTACTAAGCACAAGTATTTTGGCCAAAAGGTGAAGTACTTGAAGGAACTAGTTGGTTGCCTCCAAGAGTTATTATTTTACCAACTGCTTCTTCCGTAAATTCTCGGAACCGAAGAAATTCCAGAATGGAGAGAAGTAAGGCATTGTCTATGATGACGAACTAGTTAAGACAACAGATTTACTAGATACTGGGATGAACAACTCAAAACTTTTGAGTCTGGTCGCATTTCCCATCTCCCTAGCAGACTATGCCTTTTTGTCATATCATTTCCTGTGCAAAAATCATAAAATTCACAAATGGTGCATTTATTGTTACTCAATATCGAAGCACATCAGCCAAAACACACAAAGAGAACCAGTACAAAGCAGCTGATTTCATTCAGCATCAATTGTGTATGCACCATAATAAACTGCTCAATTAGGTATGAAACGAAATCTTGGGTATGTCAGTTATAAGAGTGCGATATTGGAGGTTACTACTTTATGCGGAAGAAGCCGGAAATCTAAAAAAAGAAATTGAAATTCACTAAGATCAGTTTTCCATCTATAACTTTTTATTAATGCCCACATGCTCCTTCACAGATTTCGATTTCGGCTCCTTCAAGATGCTCCTGAGGCTCTTAGCGGTTTTATCGTTGATGTGGCGAGTCCTCGCCGTCTTTTCAGCTTTCCCAGTAGCCCTAGACTTATTACTTTTCTCGACAACTCTGGTTCCAGTGGCTCTGGTTCCAGGCGTTTTCGCGGTTCTAGTGGTTTTAGCTGTTTTAGTGCTCTTTTCGTTAACACGAGCCTTTACGCTTCTCCTGCTAAGCCCTGGAAGAGAAAAAAATTGATGTAACACAAATGGGACATATAAGAAGGATTTACTTTTGTACCTTCGCCTGAAAAAATGGCCCTTGCTTTGCTCTTGATGCTTTTTTTCAATGAGACGAATTTAGGTTCCTTCTGTAATTAAAATAAGAAGAAACTGCATTTTGAATTATTGCTGAACATAGCACAACAAAAAATCATAAAAATATGGCATACCTTACTCTTTTTTCTAGCTTTTCTCAACTTTCTACAGATGCACTTGCATTTTTCTTTGTGACAGCGAAGGCATTCGCATTTGCATTTGCACTTCACCTTATAGCAGCCTTTGCAGAAACACTGGCATTTCGTATACTTGAGCTTACCACATTCTGCGCAGTCTGCAAGCATTAACATATCACTCAATTATTCAGTATATCTTGTTCTCTGTGGAAGAATTCACATCAAGTCCCATACCATTTCGATAAATTTATAGGAAAATAAGCAGCTCATCTGAGAATGAACTGTTAGCTGGCTCGCACTCAAGGTGCTTGTCAACTTCTTTCACAGAGTAGTGAAAACGACTTGCTGAGCTTACATCTTTTTAACTCTCTTTTCTTCGGCGACTGAAAGGATAATCTGAGAGCAGGCTTATCCAGTAAACCTTATTAAAAGCCTCACCTTTGTAGCCTTCGAGAATCTGACGGACTTGTCAGTAGAGAGCACGAACTTAAATGCATTAGGGAAGGAAAGCCAGTCTTAACTACGAAATGTTCAAGACAAACATACATCCACATCTCCCTTTTTCTTGGGAAAAATACTGTCCGTGTCTGAAGACACAGACTCCACCACAATCATATGGTAATACTTCGGCGTCGGTGGAGAAGCGCGACCTTTACGGCCCGGCTTTTTCGAGGAGTTTTTGAGGATTCCTCTACTCGCCATTTCTGAAATATAAGGATTTCTACAGCAACAACAAACAAAATGAGTCCAGGAATACAGACAGCCTATATTTCTTCTATTTCTGACAAATTATCTAACCTTAGTACGGGAAGATTTAGAGAAATTAAAGGCTGATGTGCTGGAATTGAACAGTAGTCTGAAAGAAAATTGTATGGTCAGAAACTGACTAGATAATCCAGGCGCCTAACCTTTTACAGGCTCAGATTAGCGCAACAACATACAAAACACGTTGTTCAAGACTAGAGAAAATACGCTAACACAGAAAATAACTCGCAACAAAGACTGAGGTGGTGTGGCGGAAGATCAGAAATGAAGAGGAAATTAACAAACAATTAATTCATCACAAAGTGATCAACTAGATGGTGATACCGTACATATCACATTCGCTGATCAACTAGATGGTGATACCACTTACATAAGGAACAAAAACATACATCAAAGAGAAAAAAAAACATTATAATGGTACAGAATAATCATATGTAACCCGTTTAGGTTTCCCTAGCTAAGGCTGAGCCGTATTTACGGATGGCTTTCTTTCAACGGAGTCCCCGGCAACTTTAGCGCCAACAGCTAACTTATAGGATACTCTTGATCTGAAAATTAGTAGAAATTGAGCGATTACGCTACCTTAGCATTACATTAGAAAGAATGCTTATCGATTGCCAAAAGCAGCAAGAACCATCTGCATGTCGTGAGCTGTAACAACCACAAAGGGACTGCCTCCTTTCGTAGGTGATTGCTTAGGACTGGTGGCAGCGAATGCTTCGTCAGGCCTAGACACAAGTATGTGTAACATTATTAGCATGTGTTCAACTAAAACTTGTGAGATAAATGTACGATGCTTACTCTTCTTCATCCTCTATTTCTTCCTCTTCTGCCTTCTTCTTAGCATGACATCTCTTGCGTTTTGAGAACCTCTTTGGCTTAATTTGTAATCTAGTTTCAAAAATTAAATATCTCAACATGCTGCACACAGTGAATATGCATTTCTTTCTTATATGTGTCGCTAGCGGACGGGAGATAAAACCCAAACAGAGGCATTACTCCAAAAAAAAAAACCAAGCGCGCACCTTGCTAGAATGCTTAGACTCTCTTTTTCTGCTTTTCTTCTTTCCCATTTCCTTTTTCAGTGCCCTCTCTTCTTCAGCGGTACGACGATCTTCTTCTTCAATTATGTCCAGCTGTCTGAAGACATCATCAGGTGGCAGACGTGCGGAAGAAAGATTTGGGCTAAAGGTGTGAATCCTCTATGAATCACCGTTGGTCCAGTCAAGTTACCTTGCAGCTATAGCTCGATGCTCTGCAAAATCAACAAGCTTCTCAATTAGGTCTCGAGTGCGGTTCTGAGCTGCTTCGGATAGCAATAGAACAGCCTAGAATCTATGGTGATAGATGCCTGATTATAGTCGCTAACTTTCGAACACCTCATCATCTATATTGCTATATTCTCCCATAACCTTCCAGAAAAGGTCTCGCACTTTATCTGGATCTAGGAAGGAATTCTCAAGCAAGGTCCCTTTAAAAACGCGACATGGCTGAAAGAATTGAATCAGTGTGATGCATATAACATCTACCCTAGGTTCAAGTAATCATACCTTTTGTGAGCCGTGACCTAAAATGGCAAAGGAAACAGAGTACCTCAAATTCAAATGGACAAAATGCCTCAGACACTTCTGAGTCTTCAAATCCCGTTGTGGTTGTGACCTCAGAGTCGCTCTCAAAAACATCGTAATCTGGTAAAGAAACAGCGACCTGTTGAGGAACACAGGGTGCTTCACCATTCTAAAGATATAGTATTTGTTAGTGCATTTGAATGTACAATAGCCATGAGATATCTTGGAACATCAAAATGAAGATGCAAGAATAAAGCTTTAAAGAATGCAGAATTCAGAAAATCACTCTTCATTTGATGTGTAGCCTTTACCCACCATGTTATTAGGTTGGTCTGGAAGTACTAAATTTTAAGAAGACAATTTACCATATTCTTTTGTCAGAAATTTTTTCAAGGCCTATAGATTTAGGTGCAAGACTTTCTGACCAACCTAATACTTGTCAACAATTGAGAAGCTTTACATAAACGATTCTACAGTTCCTTACCTTAACAAGCTTATCGTAATATTCGCGACACACCCCATACAGAAAGTGTCCATCAAAAGCGAGGCTGATGTAGTTAGGATTTGTCAAAAATTGAGAAGGTACAAAAGGTTCAACGGCAACATCTCCTAGAATTATATGTATGCGAATTGTACATGCATCCCAAGCACAATACAGTAATCTGGAAGTCCATTCTTTTGCTTTAGGTTGGATATGATAGCCGCGTGTTGGCAGGCCGTAAAGACTTTTTTCGACGGAGAATAACATTCAGGACCTCTTTCAGAGAAATGCTTAGCATACAAGAAGGCCAATTTGGGATCAGTTTATAGTCTTCCACGTAATGGTCTACCACCATCGCAACGCAGAGGTGCTCCGGATGCCGAACTGCTAAATACAACGATGTTTATAGTCCAGCAGGGTCTTCCAAGCTGAGAATGAGTTCGATGTTTTCGGCTTTCCAAATGCCCAGATGAAAAAGGAAATTCCAGAAGCGCCTCAGTCTGGCTGGTTGCTAGGTGATTCCCTGACCCATATAGGTCAGCGATTGCCTGTAGAGGAAGTTAGCACGTTCTGGCAATGTTAAGTCTGGGGAAGAATCTCATCGCCCGTACAACATGTTAAAAAAAGCTCTCATGCTGGACCAAATCCGGCATCGAATGTCAACACTACCAATGTCAGGTTGCACAGGACGCCATAAATTTTGGGCCAAAAGGACTTATGACTCGCCACGGATATTGTCTCATGCTCCGCACCTACAACGCTAGGACAGTCTCCACCAACGCCGATCTTCACGTCCTTCTCGAAGTTGCAGGGTGCATCAACGCACGTAATCGCCTTGCAGGAAACAAAGCCAAGGAAGACAAACGAGAGGCAGTTTATTGTTGGCACATTCATCATTCGTAGTGAGAAAGCTCCATCACGGAACGTTGGAGACGTTGAAATGTCGTAAATCCATCTGTTGTGCTCTTGTCTCTGCATAGAAAACCACTATTATCAGATGCTCATAACACTCCGTCATGTTGGGCTTTTACGCCGCACGACTTTCTCATAACAACTCCATAGGGAGAACCCTAACGGCACAACTTGTGCGAAGAACGACCACACTCTTACCAATTAAAGTTGATGCTTACTCGACGTTATATTGACAAATCCTTCATCAGCAGTTCAGATCACCGTCTCTTTCGAGCAAAATGCGATTTGGCTGAAGGCTAGAAAAGAAGATCTGTCACCGTGTTGAAGGAAATAAAGTAGTATATTACGGCGTCTGGAACTGCCACAGGTGATTGGCGTTAAGGAGAAACGGGACTACGATTTCCTTCTCAAAGGACTGAGACCTGCGGTGAAAGTGCCTCAATGCCTCAAATGGAGCTTAGAACGAATTACGCAAGCCACCAAGGATCTGCTTGAGAAGAGAAGAGCAATAAGGCTGGATCCAATTTATCACATCTTGAGTGATTAGTGGCCAAACGAGCTGCAGAACAGCTTTGCAAGAAGAAGTGCAGGTGCAGGTAGTCGAAATTTTCGAAGCAGCACAAGAAAAAAGGAGTTCTCGCCTACTTCCGCTGACAACATTCAATGAAGACGGGATTTGCACGTCTTCTCGACAGAAGATGGAAATCACGAAGAAATTCTACTCCAATCTCTTCTGTTAATTGGCCCCCGTGTCTCAGGTTATCCCTACTGGAGAATAACCACCAGGACCTTCACGTCGCACCAAACCCCGAAAGCAGCCACGACTCCGTGACTGCAACACGTTTCGACCGATTTTTTACGAGCTGGAAGACACCGAGAACACGAGGCGCTTGTGGTGCACAGTCTTACCTTTTAAAAATGAAAGATCCCCGACCAGTGGAGAACCAACAATCTTCCTTCATAAAAGAGCGTTAGCAAGATCTTTGGAACTACCGTCCATTGAGCCTGCTGAGCATACTACAAGTTCTTCACGAATCATCGAAGCTGGATAAAGGCCAACTTGCAGAAAACTCATTTCAAGGGATCTAATGCGTGGATCACCAGCCATTTCGAGGATTATCGAATTTTGCGGAGAGTATCGCCTACCTCTCGTCTTAACCTTCGTCGACTACGAGCAAGCGTTTGACAGCGACGAGCCTGCTCCCATACTATCAGCGCTTCGATCAAGGCAACCCATATTAAGTGAGGACATTGGCCGTCTGGTACGAATTGCTCTACAGCGGCACAGCTTTCCCATTACTCCCTTAGCATACCAATCTTGAAGGGATTTGACAAGGCGACACTGTGTCGCCAAAGCTGTTTTCCGTCACCTTACACTGGATGATTTAATCACTGGATTGGAAGGAAGAGGTATAGGAGCTGATAGGAGGCTCCCCGCAAACCTATGCTTTGCGAACGGCATGGTTCTCTTCTCGAGAAATACCATGGAGCGCAGATGATGTAGGGGCTAACGAAGTAGGGAAGAGGGCTATGAATCAACTTGAAGATTTAGATATACAGAACGCTTTTTGCGAGGATCAGAAAATGGATTAGAAGGCTCTCCAATTGCGGAGACGTTCTTACATATCTCGGGCATTCAATAAACATGGGAAACGACCAGAAAGAAGAATTAGACAAGAGGCGAAGAGCGGCTTGGGCCCAAAGAGAGCCGCAGACTAGCTGAAGCGAGCCTACTTGTTTATCAACCATTCCAGCGCTCAGTTACGCAACAGAGACGTGACCTGACACTATGGCTATGGCTACGTCAAAGGCCCTTTGAGCAACCCACAGAGCGCTGGAACGATTCTGAAGTGCAACCAACGAACTCAACATCTCTTCCGACTTCGCAGATGAGACCACTCCCCTCTTCGCGACCCAACCGATTACGTCTCCGAAGCGAAACATCGTTCGGTTAATCATACAATAAGAAGAACAGACGACAGATGGACACTAAGGATCCTGGAATGGATCACTCGTCATCATCATCAGCAAAACGTCCCCACAATTAGCCACCAACCGGCTGCGAGTCCGACAACGCCGTGAGTTTGCTGCGTTCCAGAAGACTCTGCTTGGCGTTTTCCTTCTTTCAAAAATTTTTTCAGACGTCTGCGATGTATATCCACGTAAGAGGCAGTGGGAGAATAGTCAATTCAAAAAGGTGGACTCGCAGTTTGGGATCCATGCTGTCTGTGGCTTCCCCTAGAAACTTAAAGTGCTTCGACCTCTAACAGCCGTAAACCACTGGCTGCCTATTGCACAAGTATGAATACTTTAATATGTAACATTTGGTAAGGAAGAAGGCAGCATTGCAGAGAATCTATTCGACATTACTGAGGATCACCTTCAAAAAACCTTGATACCACCTCCTACTGCCAATTTCTAAGGAGCAAGGAAACTTTTGGCGCAACTTCCATTTTGTTAAAGGCATGTGCGACGATCCCCTTGCATTTCACTCAACTGAGATATAAATTGTTGCGATTACTTAGGCTTGCCTTTGTTATCTAGCTACATATCCTCGCACATTACATTTGTCAACGAGAATTTTCCGCAAGGTCATCGACTCCGTTAACCAATTTATTTGAAAACATCCTGAC